CCTCCTACATCACCTATCTCCCCGCACCCCCACCCGGGCCCAGGGAGTCCTCTCCCCTCCCTTCAAGACCCATCCATTCCCAGGTTGGCCCCCCGGCCCCTCCTCCAGGAAGGTCTCCCGCTGCCAGTTATGGGCCACTGCTGGGTTCTCTGGCTCTCTCCAGGTGTGGAGGGACTGGAAGAGGCCTCTCCCCAGTCTGCACAGCGTGTACACTGGCAAGAGGACAGTGAGGGTGCCAGAGCTCCGACCTGCCAGTGCTTGGTGACGGCATTCCACACCCCGATGCGCCCGGTGTGGCTGGTGGCGATGAGCTGGTTCCCCACGAAGAACAGGGCCTCCACAGGCACCCCCAGGTGGAAGACTCCTGCAGGGACGAGGAGGGCTCGGTGAGGACCCCGCTTCAGCGTGAGGACAGTGGCGGCGGGAACTCCAAGGGCCAGAGGATTCAGCTGGGCCGTGGAATCATCACAAGATTGAGGGGTCCAGAAGGAATTACAGGTATTTTCAGATAAGAGGAGCGCTCCGAAGAGTGTGCAATCTAACATAGGTAAGATTTCCAACAAGGAAAAACCCTCTAGTGACAGAGAACTCTGATGAGGACCACAGATTCTAAGAGGCCCCGGCCCAGGATGCTGCGGAGAGATCTAATAGGGCAGGGGATTCTCAGCAGGGCGAGAACTGGCTGTGGGCAGATTTTCCTAACAAGCGAAGGGATTCCAACATAACGAAGCATTCTAACGGGGCCGAGAGATCTAATGGGGAACAGCGTTCTTATGAGCTTGGGAATTTTATGGGGTAAGTTGGGGTTTTTTGTTTTTTGATGAGATAAGGTCTTGTTATGTTTTGTTTTTGAGACAGGGTCTCGCTATGCAGTTCAGGCTGGCCTTGAACTCACTTTGTAGCCCAGGCTGGTCTCAAATTCACAGCAATCCTCCTGCCTCAGCCTCCCAAGTACTGGGATTACAGGCGTGCACCACCACGCCCGGCCAATGTCTTGTTATACAATTCAGGCCACTAGTGAACTCACTATGTAGACCAGGCTGGCCTCAAACTCTTAATCCTCCTGCCTCAGCCTCTTGAGTGCTGGGACCACAGGTGCATGTCACTATGCCCTGCTCTGGGGTGGGTTATTTTAACGGGCCACAGGATGCTAAGGGCAAAGGGTTCTGAAAAAGACCCTGGGCCATACCTATCTCGGAGCCACCGCCTTCTGGCTGCAGAGCCCACAGTAGGATCTCACTGCCGGTGGCCGCGGCCACCATCTTGTCATGCTCGCCCAAAGCCCCGCCAGGCACCCGGGCTGTGAGAGCCAGGCGCTCAATGGGCCAGTCCAGGCGGGGGCTGGAAAACACCAGCTGCCAGCCAGAGGCCTCCTTCAGCCTGCAGGACCGAGGGAACACCATCAGTCTTCACCTCAAGCCCTTCCCAAACCCAGGGCTCAGACCTCTCACCTCCCCACTCTTTAAGCACCTGTAGCAGACAAGGAACTGTGTATAGGCCACAGCGATCCAGTTGTTGTGTCCGCACACCAGGCGCACCATGCCCGCCTCTTCCGGTTGCCCTTGGGGCGGGGCGGGGGCGGGAGAGCGTGGATTGGAGTAAGGGTCACAGGAGCCCCACACAGGGACCCCCGGCTGCCCTGACCTCCCAGAAGCCAGAAATTTACCTGAGGGTGACGGAGGGGCTTTCTCATCCAGCATTCGGCCCAGCAGCCCTGCGTTGCCCAGGTTGGGAGGCATCGTGTTGCTTCGCCGAACCGCGGCCAGGCGCCCCCCGACCTGCTGGGCCCCGACCAGGCTGTGCCGATTTCGCCGCTTCACTGGGAACACTGGAGTCGGGACGAGGCAGAGTAGCGATAACTGTCGTCACGGCTGTGAGGCTGGAAGCATTGCAACTACGACAGCTACACATTTCCCCGGGAGGAGCAGTCTCTTGGTAAAGATTTTAGGTGGAGTTGGGACGTGGCGTTCAAGGACATTGAGTCACACAGCACGTCACTCCCTCTCCAGGTCCTTCAGCTCTGGCTGCTGTGACATTAATGCCTCTTTAAGATTTGCTAATCTCTCCTAGAAAATTTAAGCTCATACCCTTGGCAGACTAGAGACTCTAGCTAGGGTTTAATACTAACACTGATGTTTGGGTTTATTTTCATGTTTCTCTTGTATTTACGGAATAGAGGTAATGGTATAAGCTTCCATTTAAGATGTCCTCCCCGCCAGTACTGGGGATGGAACTCAGGGCCTTTGCCCTGAGCAGTACCTCTAGCCCTTATTTTTATGAGACAGGATCTCACTAAGTCACTAAATTGCCCAGGCTGGGCTTGAGCTTGTGATCCTCCTTCCTCAGTCTTCCACCCGTGTGCATTCCCATATCCAGCAGATGATTTTTAAGGTGGGAATAAACTAAGAAAAATAACAGTTCAGCCCTTTCTATTTGGCAAATTTCATGCAAGCAGTAGATGGTGATGGGAGATAGGGAAATAAAGTCACATACTGAAGATTACTATGTTCCTTCTACCAATAAGCAAAGCCCAGGGGCTGGGGATTTAGCTCAGCGGCGCAGCACCTGCCTAGCAAGCGCAAGGTCATGAGTTCGATTCCCAGTACCAGAAAAAAAACAAAAAAAACCAAAACCAAAAAAAAACAAAAAACAAAAACCAAGCAAAGCCCAGTAGACTACATTTCCCAGTAACCTCTGAGGAATAGTTCCCATAATAGTCTGATCCAAGGTTTCATGGGAATTATAGTACATAACTTGCTATTAATGCTATTCCTTTCTATGCAAAGAATCCTGTTTCTTCCAAAGCTTTCTTGCAAGAAAATCAAACCTGGATACAACTCCCATGGGGCTTTAGCTTATGCATCCGAGTAGAACTAGCTGGGCAGGGGCTGGGGATTTAGCTCAGCGGCAAAAGCGCCTGCCTGGCAAGCGCAAGGTCGTGAGTTCAGTTCCCGGTACAACTAGCTGGGCTGCTGCCTTATGGAAAATGCTGTTTTCTACTTCCTTTCCAAGTATTAGCCTAAGCTCAGGTACAGAACAATTTCCACTGCGTCTCAGGGCTCACAGCACAGGCACCCAAGAGCTGCAGCATATAGGAAATGCAATTTTTAGCCCACCCTGCTCCCCTCCATTCATTGGGAGTGCCCACCTGGTGGGGGTAGGTAACCATTGAAGAGGACGTTGCCGCAAGAAGATCGATCTAGCTCCTCCAGTAGCTGCAGGCGACGAACTGCAATGGAAGGACTCTGGGACTTGGGGGATGCTAAGACAGACCCCTTTTCCTCACCCCATCTGTTTCTCCACAAAACATCACCACGACCCTCAGAGCCAGGGGCAAATCCAGTACTCTTCGATCTCATGCAACCTTCTTTCAGGAGTCGGGGGAAAGGAGCAGGAAACACTCGGAAGGTTCAGTAGAAGGTTGGTTTTTTACCCAGTGAGGAGGATGTTAACTGCTCCCCTTTCTCACAGACACACGCGGGCACACACACACACACACACACACACACACACACACACACGTGCGCTTACCCAGGGGGGTGAGTCCATAGAACTGGGCTTCATGGAGGAGGCTGGAAACATGGACACCCCTGCATAAAAGAACTGATTAGGGCCCAGAGTCTGGCGCCTAGGAGAGGGCAGATAATTCTAAGGAGGAAGTTTCAGAACTTCAGAGAGAATGTGGAGGGGTAGCGACTTTTGACAGAATAAAATTCTAAGAAGCAATGATATGAACAGTTAAAATGTGTGTATGTGAATTCGAAGGACAAATAATTTAACAGGATCAAGATGCCGAATAACGCTAAACGAATGACTCTTCAGGGGATCCGCTGAGGGAGGCAAGATGGTGAAGGCCTCTTTTTCCTTTATCCATTCCATACCCACCTGGGGTCCAACTCTTTGGTGCGCAGGAAGTTGAGAATGGGGGCGAAGACGGTGGGGTCCCTGTCGATGAAGATCTGCAGGAAAGAGCAAGGCAGAGGACGGACAGGACAAAGCAAGGGACTGAGTGGAGGGCTCGTCCCTCCCCCTAACGTCCGCCCCATTCAGCTCTCGCCCTACTCACTGCTCCGGTTTCATCTTTCAGAGTTGAGATGCGCCCGCTCAGCAGACTAGGGAAGGGGAAACAGCAGAGGTCACAGGCGTCGCGGGGAGGTGAGCAGGTGGTAGGAATTAGGCTTCCGTAAGCCCTCTGCTTCCACCACGACCCGCCCCCGCACCGCCCCAAACACGCTCTCCCGATCACCTAGAGAAGAAGGAGTCTGGGATCCAGGTGAGAGTCTGGCGAGAGGTACTGAATCTGGTGGGGACGGTAAGTGAAAGCAAAAAGTGATGGACTGAGAGTGGGAAACGCCGCCCCATCCCTCAAGATCCAGGGCGCTGTTCCCCACCTCCAGCCTTTTTCCAGGCGCTACACCTCCATCTGGGGGCGGAGCAACCCTTGATGGACAGGGATTTCCCCAGGAGAGGCGGGTACTCCCACTCCGCTCCCCGCCCCGCAGTGCAGGGCGTGAGGAACCTCTCCCACTCACCTTTTGCCTCCCACGTTCAGATGGATCACTTCTCCAGGAGGACCCAGACCCAGAACCCCCTCGGCTACAACTGCAGCCGCAGCCATGGCCCCCGGGAGAGCCGGCCGGCCGGCCAGCACCCACTTCCGGGTGTGCATTCAGACCCGCCCCCATAGCGTGTTCATTGGGTTGGGGAGTCCAAAAGCCTTCGAGGATTGGACAGGGTACTCGCTCGTCACAGTTAAATCCTCCGCCTCCTTAAAGGGACCCGCCTTTCCGGGCAGCTCCTTCTGTGAATTTTAATTACTTCCCTAGCCATCTAGAGGTCTCATTTTAGGTAGAGCTCTCAGATGATTCATCGAGGCGCATGCTGACAGACCCCCGAAATTAGTGCACACCCTAACGTACACCTAGACGTTCTCCGAAGTTACTGATCCCCCCCCCCGCCAGCCCGTCCCGCAGGCGCAGCCCATGAAACGCTAACGAATCAATGTAGACCGTCAAAGCCAAGGGGTTTATTATAGGTACATACAGTGTGCGCCCGCCACACCGCCCCACACCCCCGGGCCCCAGCGGCTTCTCCAGGCAGCCATGGGGACTGTCCACGACCCGCTTCCTCCACTCCTCAGGGAGATGCTCCAGCCAGAAGCATGCAGGGGTGCAAGGGAGGGCTTCCCCTCACCCCTCCCCTCGTGAAGGGGCATTTACAGTTGGAGGGGGGAGGAGAGAGGAAGACAGTTCTGAGCTTTGACGCCCCTCCCATTAAAAGCCTTCGCGGATGCGGGGCGGGGGAGGGGGAAGTCTACCTTTTGCAAAAATAAACTAAATCAGGAATTAACCACATGGCTCCGAGGCGGCGGAGTGCAGAGGCTAGGGCCCCTCCCCCATCCAGACAGAGATCAAGGCAGCATTGGAAGTGAGGTAAAGGCGGGGAGGGAGTGTCCCCTCCCCACCTCCTAGCACCCTGGATGGTCCAGGGGACCTCACCAGCGCCCCCGTGCCCATCCTTAGGGCAGAGAGGAGGCCAGGAATTAACGCCCCCACCACCCCGGCTTCTTGGGACAGGATCTGCCGATGGGGCAGGGGGCTTGGCTCAACTGGCCCCCTGCCCGCCCCCACTAAGCTCAATTATTGCATAAAAATAATGGAGCCCCAGCACCTGGGGTGGGGGGTGGCGAGCGGGAAGGGGCCGAGATATGGCTATAGGGGCAGCAATCTCCCCACCACTTGTTGGGGTGCAGGAGAAGTCCCCTCCTTTCCAGTGCCCGTCCTGTGAGTCCGCAGTGTTGGATAGGGGCTCTGACCCTTGCAGAAGAGAAAGTGTCTTTGTGCCCACAGTGCAGAGAAAAGGGGCAGGGAGACTCGCCGGGACCTGGGGTTAGGGGAGTCACTTCCTGCGCCCACTGGCCCTGCGCTCCCCTCCCTCACGCTTGGGGTTGCCTTCATCCGTGGAGGAGGTGGTGGGTAGTGTCTGTCCCCAGCGGGCAATCTCTGCGTGTTCTGCCACCGAGGCAGCGACCGCCTCCAGCCAACCGTTCATCTCCTCCTGGAAAGAGAAACAGGGCATGGAGTCTGGAGTAACAGACCAATGTGCAGTCAGACTCCCCCTCTCCGAACTTCAGTTTCCTCCTCTGTTAAGGTGACAGGGATAGCCGGGGATATAGCTCAGTGGTACAGTGCTTGCCTGGCAAGCGCAAGGTCGTGAGTTTGATTCCCGGTACAAAAAAAAAAAAGGTGACACTGATAGAGGATGCAACCAGTCACACAGCACTTTCGATGTGCCAGGCTCTGATCTAAGCACTTTTTGTGGATTCATTCATTTACCCTATACAATAGGATTATATATAACTCCCCCATACAGATAAATAACATGGGTGGACACCTACTGAGCACTGACACTTAGCAGGTCCTGCGCCCTACATGGTTCAATTTATGAATCAGGAAAAAAACTATTAAAAAAAAATGCCGGGCACAGTGGTGCAGGCCTGTAATCCCAGCACTCGAGAGGCTAAGGCAGGAAGATCGTTGCGAGTTCAAGGCCAGCTTGAGCTACAAAGTGAGCTCAAGGCCAGCCTGAACTGCATAGCAAGACCCTGTC